GTGTGTGTGTGTGTGTGTGTGTGTGTGTGTGTGTGTGTGTGTGTGTGTGTGCGTGTGTGTGCGTGCGTGTGTGCGTGCCTGGTGAAAAGTAACATAATATTATGACAATTTTTGAAGAATTTCGATTTATTACATTTTACGATAAGAAAATCATTTCTGAACAATACGCTTAAGTATTTAGTGAGATCTGGTTAATTTTGTCAGGTAGGATGCAGAAATAAAGTTTTGCGAAATATATCTTTAACGTTTACTTTAGATCTGGATCGAGTTCTACTCCTCATGAATAACGATCGATCGGCCAGCCGTGTTGTTTGTCTCCGAAGCCTTTGAAACACTGTTATTAGGCTAAGAACTTCTTTTTAAAAAGCAACTTAAGACATTTAAACAGTTTTGTCATTAAAAAACTTTTTAAAAGCAAATTCACGGCCACTAAGAATTACAATTTTCGTGCATGCGCGAAGCCTCTCTTCTTTCATTTAGTCAGTGTATTCATACACAGTACACACAGATGGAAAAAAAGCCCACAAACTGACCTACATTTTGACATGCGATGAGAAGGGGTTGATTTTTATGAATGAGTCTTTAAAATATTCATCAATTGCACTGCAAGAAATTTTGAGGAGTTGCTTTGTGGCTTCGTTTTGCTCATGAAGTAGAACAGGGCACACATGCGGAAAAACCTGCAGTCCCTTCTGTTTTGTAACATTGATGCCCACTTTCTAGATTGAGTTATGTAACAGGCTGGCATAAATGTTTATATATGCAGTGTGATGGTGTTTTTTCTTTGTGAATGAGTCATAGAAACTTTCCATTGATAGGCTCTGACAGTAATTATTCTCCCGTAATCTCTGTAACTATGTAAGGTAACTTGTGTCAAAAATACTTCTTCAAAAATACGTTTTTAGCGTAGATATAACACAAAGCTTCGTAAATATCGGTAGATAAGTGGCTATAGAATAAGTTATTAATGGAACTCATTTTATTTAAACAAATCAATTTTTGACCTTTCTTGCCCTCTAGATCTATCTCAGTTCTAGCAAAGGCGACTAAAGCAAGACGTGGCCTAAAGGTACTTTTCACCAGCCACGCTCACACACACGTAACATCTGTGTGTGTGTGTGTGTGTGTGTGTGTGTGTGTGTGTGTGTGTGTGTGTGATGCTCATCACCATTATTGTCATCGTCCTGAATTCATCTCGTATAATCTAGGTTTCTATTCTTTGTGGGCTACATGCTAAAACATAGTAATCAGTACACATAAAGTAAAATTGTGAGCACCAAGATTTG